AAAGGGCACTTGCTAATCTTCATTTGGGGTGGGGTCTAGATCTCAGGCACTGTGGGCACTGGGAAAGTCTTTGGAGCTGTGAAAATCCAAGCGAGTACTGAAAATTCCTGGTGGGGGTGGTGTGTATAGCTTCAATAAAGGCCTTAGGTGAAGCAGTGACCTTCCGGGGTGCAGTGCACCCCCAGTGCACACTAAGCATGCTCTGTGCTAGGCTGGACACAGTGAGAGAGGCATGGCCCCCGCCCTGGAAGAACAGATAATGAACAAAATCAGGAAAGTCAGCTACTGGGAGCAAAGACCCCCTAACTGCTGCCCAGAGATAGACTCTGCTCAGGTACACAAATGGAGGCTCACTCTCCAGGGACAGACTCAGATAAAGGCTGGTACGGAACGCGGCCCTCCAGGTCGGGCCTGGTGGCGGAGGTGGCCCCAGCTTTGTTGGGGGCCTCACACCCCATCTCCGTTTCCCTCCTCACTGCACGGCCTCGCCTTCCAGAAGCTTCTCACACTCCCTGCCCTTTCTCTCGCCTGGTGCGATCCTGGGGGTGCCCAGCGGAAGATCAGGAGGCCACACAGGCAGAGGATTCCAGAGCCGGATCCCCGTCCCCACCAGGAGCTGTGTCCAGCCATCCTGGAGGTCCCCTCCCCAGCCCGGCATGGAGCTGGTCTGTCCCCACGGGGCTCAGCATGGTGCGAACCTGCTGTCCTCTGTGCCCCCGTGGTTCCTTGTGCAGCTGATGATCTTTCTCATCAGCACCGTCAGTTCCATGCTCTCTGGACATCTGGGCAAAGTGGAGCTGGACGCTGTGACCCTTGCGGTCTCGGCAGGTGCTTAGTTTTACCTTCTCGTCTGAGCTGACCACATGGAAGAGCCTCAGCGTTTGTTGCATCACGCCTTACACGTGACACAGCTTTACAGGGTCTGGGCCTGACCTGCCGGTTGTCATGACCTGATCCCTACACTTGAAAGAGGTCGTATCAATACTTAGGAAATGTGTTTCCTCCACTCTAAACTCATCCCATTCCCAGGTGAGCTCTAATCACAGAGGCACCAGGTCTTGCAAGGAGCTAGTAGCAAGTACATACAATTTGTGTTCCTATCAAAACTTAGAGAACTGCGTTTTTTTCTGTGATGAAATCAAACCAATACACTTTTAGGTTATTGCGGTTGTCCCCCATGAGCTGAATTGCATGGTTGGTTAAGGTTGCACTATTTCGTCATTGGGCTGTGGATTGAAATTACGCCACCTTGCAGTCTTTTGTCCCTGGGTATCTGTAAGTGATGTAGTGGAAAGTTGCATTTCATCCAGGCTTTCAGACAAGGTGAGAAACACTCCTCCTGCTGGTGGCAGGTGGTTTTCCCCATTCTCGGAAAACGCCCCTGCTGTTGTCCTACGAGGTGGGTGTGTGCCCTGGGATCATGGAGGGCCACAGAGGTTTATTCAGCTCCAGGCTGGAGAAGACCTTGCTCTGTGGGATCAGGCATTTTATTTACAGTCCTGTTACTTGGTGAACTAACTTGGGATAAGGAACATTTCTGTTTCCTTTGAAAGTTTAGGTTGGGCCTCTAGAAAGAGTCGAGATGGGAGAGGGGCTCTACATACAAGGTTGTTGCAGCGTCCCCTGCAGGAAAGATGAGCTGGTCCCTGCATGGTGCACATTGTGCTTCTAGTCACGTGGGGGTGATGATCTGGGATTGCAGGGACATTTCCTGCCGTGTCCCCACAGGGCCCAGGATGGGGGCCTACCTCTTCCTCCCCCACTTCTCAACCACTGCTCCCCAGTTCGCTTTTCAGGACAGCCCTTCAGGTAGACCACCCTGCAGGCTTCCCTGTTGGTGACATCTAGGGTCCAGTCAGTGAGTGAGCTCAGTCACGGGCCACCCTCGTCTCCTCTCCCATCTCTGCTGTGATTCTGGGGTGTGGGTGCCACCTCCCTCCATCTCACTGACTTCCAGGCCCCCTGTCCACCCAGGCCCCCTGTCCACCCGGGCCCCCTGTCCACCCAGGCCCCCTGTCCAGGGCCTCTTGCCACCTGTGCTCTTTGCCAGAAAGTTGACGTTACGTCTTCATTCCCTTTCCTTCCCATCGCAGTCTGGCCTCTCTTCTCCCCCTACCCCATTAAACCTGCTCTGTCCAAGTCCTCAGTGACCCCCTTCCCCCTTTGCCACCTCCAGAGGGCTCGCCCTTACCACCTCCGTGGGCCACTCACCCTGGGAACGTGGCCTGTGGGCTCTCCTGCTACGTCTCTGATCGTTGTGACTCTTTTTCTCCCCTCCCCGTTCTCGTGTATTTTTGGGGGAGGGGGTCTGGCTGGTCCCTTCTGTTTTAAATGTCTCCTATTTGTTGCCATCTCCCAGATCTCCACCGCCATCCTTGACCTGGGTTTCCAGCTCATGTGTCTGACTGGGGACTCCCCAACTCAGAGTCTGGAGCTACTCCCCAGGAGGCCCCTAGACATCCCCTCTTTTTCTTTAATACCCCAGATCTCCATTGGCAGCAAGCCCTGCCACGTTTATTTCCCATTCCTTAAAATCAGTCCCTTCCTTGTTTCCCACTACCACTGTCTTGGCCTTCACCCTTCCTGCCCCCCTGCAGCGGGCCGCCCCAGACCCTCCTTGGCACCCCTTGGTGCCCCAGCACACCGTGCCCCCTCAGGCTGGGCCTTGCCATGCTGGGCCCATGTTCTCTGTCTCTGCTACGTTCTCTGTCTGCATTTCTCTCTCACTGATCTGCAAGCCCATATTCATTTTTGCCAAGCTTGGTTCCTGGCACAGATCTGGCTCAACCAAATATCTCAGAGGAACACACGGCTCAGGTGTGCTGCCGTCCAAGCCAGCTCTCACCTGGGCATCTCCTGGTTTTATTTTTTTTCCTCTCCTTCAGTCCCACCCCCTTTATGCTTTTTTGTTCTGTAATGTGGTGAGGGTTTAAACATTACAATTATGTATTTTAAGAAAGTCCAGTGACTTCTGTTCTTTGATTTATTTCATTAATTTACAAAAATATATATCTCGGGGGAAAAAAATCAAGATTTTATATGTGGTTTGTGGTGATTTCCTTCCCTCTTTCTGTTTTTCCCCCAAAACCCCCGAATAATAAGAGGGTGGGAAAGATTTCCTAGTTTTCGATGTAAAAAATAGCAGGAATAGAGTAAATACAAGTCCAAAATTATATAGAAGGGCCTGAAGATGGTATGTGGGAGAGTTAGTGTGTTCCAAGATGGGAATTTCTGTAGGGAAGGTTCTAGATAAGGGGGCCCTGCTCATCTGCCTTTGGCAAATGGGTGGTGATACTTTGCTTTTAATCAAGGTTAAATTGTAACTAACTGCTAGGAAGACAGTAGACTCAATTTCAAGATAACTTTATTTATGAAAGCCAGATACATTTCAAAACTTTCTACTTTATGAAAAATTCCATATAGTATGAGAGGATTTACAGAAGTGTCCATTTTTTTGAATAAAAGAACATTTATTTGTACCCCACCTTGTTCCACAAAGAATTGGAGCTGGTTTACAGAAATGTGTTCACTACATAAGGATAAATAACTGGCTGGTAGGACTGGGTCAAAGAACATGATGGAGAAAGACTCATGCCAGGGAAGCGTTGGCACAAGATGGGCCGCACGTTCTCCTCCAAGCTCTGTGCTCGCATGGTTCTTAGCAGGTTTTACTGAACCATTTATTCAGCAGGAGGACAACCTTTCTTGATACTAAGACACAGAGATAATTTGTCGATTCTCAAATACTGGACACTCAGGTTCGGAGGCTGGCGTCCTGGATAGGCAGCCACAGTGGCAATTTTTGTACCATCTTTCGTTATAATGTCATTCATTATAAGCGAGAGGCACAATGTCAGAGCTCAGCTTGGCAAAGGCTTGAATTTTTTCGTGTCCGGCAATGGATAGCAACCCTCAGTGTCGCGCCCGTACCGGACCGGGACCAGCAACGGGATCGCAACCCTCGGCGCTGCGCCCGCACCTCGCTCAGCCAGTGAGCGGGAACCGGTCTGTATGTGGGATCCGAACCGGCCCTGTACCATCTTTCATTATAATGTCATTCATTGTAAGTGAGAGGCACAACCATTCATTATAAGCGAGAGGCACAATGTCAGAGCTCAGCTTGGCAAAGGCTTGAACCTCGGGGTGAACCTCGAGCTGTGCAGGGGAATAACGCCCCGAGCCAACCAAAGTCAGGCTGTTTACAAAAGCACGCTCTTGCCTGTGGCTTTTCTTTAAAAGACAAAACTTTTCAGAAACTGACATGCCTCACCTTCCTCTCTTCTGGAAGGCTGAGCTGTTTGGGGGGCGTTAGTGATGCTGCTGCCCCGGCATGGAATTCAGTGTCATGGTTCTGGCTCATCACATCCTGTCCTCCCTGTGCCATGACCCCCTGGTTGTGTTTAGATTGAGGCCCTTGCCTGGTGGGGTGACCACTGGGTGCTCTGTCTGAGCTCCCGGGGGCTAGTATTTGTGGTTACCAGGCCAGAGTCTTGGTCAGTGGAGACGATAACTCACCTGGGGTTGCCATTGCTGCTAAAGGTGAGACTGAGGATGCAGACGAGGGTCTTCAGACCCTCCCCCTGGTGCTTCTTCCTCCCCTGCTCTGTTGCACAGGGTGCACTGAGGCCCTGCCCCATACCTGCAGGTTACTCTCATGCCCTTGGTTGATGGGGCCCAGGCAAGGTCCCATCCAGAGGGTGGCAAAAAAGTAGTCCTGCTCCTCACTGGAAAACTAAAGCCTGGGGTCTGGAGACACACTTCTCAGTTCACACCATCTGAGTAAGCAAGGCAAGTGACACAAACTTTCTGTGACACAGATTACCCTCAAAATGGGAAAGTGATTGTAGCACCATGTATGTGAAGGGCTTAGGACAGTGCCTGGCACATTGTATGTGCTCAGTAAATGTTTGCTGTTGTTATTAAATGCACATCCTACTGGCAGATCAGAGGCATTGCCTTTGGCTATTAACCACAACTTAACTTTTAAATATAGAAATTGTAACGTGCTAAGTTGTTTAAGGAAAACTAGGTTTTAAGTTTCCCCAGTTGACACAGGGTGAGTATGGCCCTCTAGTTAGAAGGTACATTTTTGTTCAACAATTGATAAGGACAGATGTGAACACCATTTGATCTGGAATATAGAACAAGTGTACACTTGTGACTTGCTCTTCAGAGAGGAGCTTGTCGCAGCTCCTTCGTGTAAAGGCAGCTGTTTGACAGTGACGCGCTTCTGGCCAGGTCCCCTGAACGTCTGCCGCACCTGGTCTGCTGTTTCTTGCAGGTGGTGAGTGTTACTGGGATTTCAGCTGGAACTGGCTTAGCCTCTGTGTGTGACACGCTAATGTCTCAGGTGAGGATTGCCCTCCCCCGCAGCCCTTTTTTGGCAATTACGTTTTACAATAGAAACCGCCTGGGGGACGTCCTCCCGCCCTCTCCCTGCCTCTTGTTTGTCAAATGCAGTGCAGTCAGCATCACGATTCTGTCCTCTTGTTGTCATCTGCTCAGGGGCTGCATTGTCCCTGTCTATTACCCCCACCCCAAAACCATCCTCGCTTATCCAGCACCCTGTCTTCCCCCCACTCCCTCCCCACCCCTCCCCCTTCCCTCTCCCCCACTCTGTCTCTGTCTCTCTCTCCCTCCCCCTTCCCCCCCTCTCTCCCCTCCTTCAATTCAGCTGTTTGAAAATGCTCTTTGCACGCCTGGTCCTGACCCCCATCCTACTGGGCCTGGTCTCTTTCAGGCCTCAGGTGAGCACGTGGCTGTCCTGAACCCCCTTGGCAGTCCCCACTTGCAAGAACACTCCCTCGGCGCCCCCTACCCTGCTGCCTGTCTTCTCAGTCCACGAGGTGTGTTTTCCTCCCGGCCCCACGTGCACACGCCAGCCCTCTCCCGGGGCACAGCCTCTCTGACAGCCTCTGTCTCCACCCCCTGTTCACTTTTAAGCTTCAGTCTCTGCTGCCAGTACCCTCCACGTCCAGTGCCCGGCAGCAAGGACCGATTGTCCCAGGACGTGTGTGAAGTGCCGCAGGGACAGTGGTGGCTGGGGAGCGGTGCCGGGCAGGGGATGGCCCAGGCCGCAGGGACCCTGTGACCTCTTTTATCTTTGCACTTGTTTTCTCAAGTCCTCTGGAGGCAAGAACCCGAAACGCCGGGGATCATACTTCAGCGAGGAATCCTCCTTTTGATGCTGTGTTGCTTTCCCTGCTGGGGCATCTTCATCAGCATCAAGCGCATCCTCCTGCTCCTAAAGCAAGACCCAGAAGTGTCCAGGTCAGCCTGCAGTTTCAGGACTAGGTGAACAGCAGGTGCTGCCTGGTCACCACCTCCACCAATTACCGGGACTTGAACCCTTTCAAAAATGGAAGCTGTGACTGTGGCCAGAGTCCTGGGCTCGCAGGGCTGCCTGACCCACGACGATCAGACATCCTCATGACCAGGACATCGTCGTCTTGGCCCCGTCTCCCTTTCGCTGAGTCCCTCCCTTTTGATGTCTTGAGAATGCACAGAATATTGTTCCCCTGACAAAAGCAGAATAGTGACACAGTTGCTGTCACTTTTGTTTTTAGAGCTGTTTTTTTTAACTTAACTATCCGGCGTGTTCTCTGGTATTGTCCTGGGGGTGCATGGTTCCTTCTAGAAGGCTGTCTTGCTCACCATGCAGTAGTCCTGATGCTCCCAAAAGGCTTCTGAATTTTGTCCAAGTTTTAGTTTATTTTTCTGTATTCTTTCCACCTTTTATGATCAGAATGACCCGAAAATGTGAACTTGTGAGTCTTCCCCTTAGAGCGTAGATGTTTAGCAAGCCCAATGTAATACAATGTAGGTTGCAGAAAAAGCGTCACTTATGGCCAGCCCATGGCTCACTTGGGAGAGTGCGGTGCTGATAACACCAAGGCCATGGGTTCGGATCCCTATATAGGGATGGCCGTTTGGCTCACTGGGGAGAGCGTGGTGCTGACAACACCAAGCCAAGGGTTAAGATCTCCTTACCAGTCATATTTTTTGAAAAAAAAAAAAGCGTCACTTGAGGTTGTTATAAAGTTTCTTCCATATGAATTATTTTTAGTTTTCAGTCTTGGGAGATACTCTGTGGGTTCACTTTGAAGACAGGATGATCAGCAGTTGCTTTAACATTAACTGGAGACTTTTGTTGTTCGTTTCAGGCTGGCCCAAGTTTACGTGATGATTTTTATTCCTGCTCTTCCTGTGAGTTGCAGGCTCCTCTCGTGTTTCCCGTGGGATGCAGCTGTCCTGCCTCTTTGTTCACCTGTCATAGCGCTATTTGTGCAGAAGGTCTCGAGCCTTCCCCAGACCTACCGAGCCTACCTCACCGATTCTCAGAACTTGTACTGCTCTGATCTCCAACAGCGTAAACTAAATGCAAACACTGATGAGGGGAAGAAATTTTCTTCCTGATTCCTTATTCTGTGGGTACTTCTGATTGCAAATTAACCAGAATATTCCCTGGGATCATCCGGGGTTCAGGGAGTGCTGCTCCTTGGAGCCTTTCCAAAGGTCCAGGCAGCGGCTTCTGCTTCAGCCAATTAGAACTTGCCTGTCAGTTCTTCAGAGAGCAAGTCTTTCATCCACTCTGGAACATTCCAAATAGTTGGCATTCTAGCATTTGTTCAGTGTGGGTCTGGCTTTCTGAATTTGCAGTCACATATCAAGAGGAAGTATCTTATTAAAAACTAGAACTGAAGAAAACCGTAGGAATTATATTTTTATGTGAATGACAGGTGTTTGCTTTTCTATTTAATCCTACAGGCAGCATTCCTGTTCCAGTTGCAGACGAGGTGTTTACAAAGTCAGATATAGATTTTAAAAATATTTTTACTTCATAATCCTGGAAATATATAGTAAATATTCTTAGGGCATTTTCTATAAATGTAATTCTCATTTTTTTCCCTCTAATTCTACCCCAGGGCTCTTTGTCTGAGAGATGTGGGGCCTCGTAGACGGATTTTGTCTGGCCCAGGAGAGACGCCACCAGTCCATCCAGTTCCTTTTGGTCACCTCTAGGTTCTCTCTGCAGCCCCGTCACCCCACCTCTTACCTCTTCTGTGGGTGGCTGCCATACTTCTGTTTTAGAGGAAGAGAGCCCAGAGTTACTGTGACCACAGTTCTGGAAGCGTGGGGGATCCGAAAAAAAAAAAAAAAGGAAAAAAAAAAAAAAAACTAGAACTGAAAAAAACTGTAGGAATTATATTTTTATGTGAATGACAGGTGTTTGCTTTTCTGTTTAATCCTACAGGCAGCATTCCTGTTCCAGTTGCAGACGAGGTGTTTACAAAGTCAGATATAGATTTTAAAAATATTTTTACTTCATAATCCTGGAAATATATAGTAAATATTCTTAGGGCATTTTCTATAAATGTAATTCTCATTTTTTTCCCTCTAATTCTACCCCAGGGCTCTTTGTCTGAGAGATGTGGGGCCTCGTAGATGGATTTTGTCTGGCCCAGGAGAGACGCCCACACCAGTCCATCCAGTTCCTTTTGGTCACCTCTAGGTTCTCTCTGCAGCCCCGTCACCCCACCTCTTACCTCTTCTGTGGGTGGCTGCCATACTTCTGTTTTAGAGGAAGAGAGCCCAGAGTTACTGTGACCACAGTTCTGGAAGCGTGGGGGATCCGCATGCCCTCAGTGCACCAAAGGAAGGGGAGAGGCAGAGGAAAGGGGCTGAGCTCACCTGGCCGCCGGCAGCCTGCTCGCCTCTGAACATACAGGCACCACCCGTTGAAGCTGGAATTGAACCCATTCTGCTTTGATAGCAGTCAGCTCTCTGTTTAAAAATAGAAGTTTTACTTAAAGAGGATGTTTATCTGAGCTCTAGCGTAGAGTAGCCGGCATACACAAAAGAAATGAGTGATGGTGCTGGAAAGCAAAGGGGTGAGCGTTTTCTGCACAGAGCTACAGAGCAGGCATTGCTGGGTCTTGTACGTGACAGCTCGACCCTGGCCGAAGCCCTGCGGAGAGGTTAAGCACCTTGGCCAGAGTGTCCCCCCAGTGGTGCTTCCTTTACACCTCATGTGAGGGCCATCGGCTGCTGTTGTGGAAACTGTGACCCGCCAGGTCGTTCAGAAGCATCTACAAACTTCTGGTTGGTTTGGCTGGAAGCTGCACTGAGGGAGGTGACATATCTGGCTGTTTCAGCTCCTGGCTGTCCCAGTCTTGTGTGACTTTGCCATCATTTGAAATTGTTGCCTATTTAACTCTGAAGATTCACTTGACAACCTAGCTCATTAGTGTTTGAAAATGCTGGTGTTTTCCTATTTGGGGATTTCAGGGCATCATCATGCCCCAAGTTATTTTTTTATTTTTTTTATTTTTTTTTATTTTTTTGTCTTTTGTCTTTTTCCGTGTCTGGCAACGGATCGCAACCCTCAGTGTTGCCCCCGTACCGGACCGGGGACCGGAAACGGGATTGCAACCCTCGGTGTTGCTCCCGCGCCTCGCTCAGCCAGTGAGCGGGAACCGGTCTGTATGTGGGATCCGAACCCTCGGGCGGGAGTGCCGCCGCGCTACCCAGTGCGCCACCGGGCCGGCCCATGCCCCAAGTTATGATGGGGATCGTGGCGAATGTCATCGATGTGGGCATGAATGCCCTCCTGCTGTACGCACTGACCTCGAGTGGTGTGAGTGGTGACCCATTCATTTGGTGAGTGCGAGTGTCCACTGTATGCCTGCTCTGTCCTGGGGCCGGAGTGAAGTGGTCTAGCGAGGGGACCACGGACAGGTGAACAGGCAGCTAGGGTGCAGGTTCAGGTGCCCCGTGGGACAGTCAGAACATGGAGAGGAGCTCTGTCATCAGTGAGGGCTGAGACAGCAGCCCCAGCAACGGCGGAGTGGGGCAGACGCCCGCAGGGAGAGATTGAGCTGGATTCCTCCTTCATGAAGCTTGAGGAGCCGAGGGCCCCACGAGGAGAGCACTGTCAGCGTGGACTCTCTTCAGCAGGTGGATGCTGGTGCCGGGGCCTGGAGCCAGAGAGTGGCCGCGCCAGCGTGTGTACACTGAACCCAGCAGTTTTTAGGGGCTTTAGGTCAGTGTGTCTATAAAGGAAGATCAGTTTAGTGGATCATGACCAACACTTTTAAAAATGAAATATCATATGAATGAAATAGAAAAAAGTGAAATAGAATAGAAAGTATAAGGTGCATTAACTTAGGGGGTATTTTCCGTGAGACTTTGTTTCAGGTATATGCAGTGCATGTGTGCATGCGTTCACGTGTGCATGCACGCACACTCATGCACATACTAATAATGTGGGGGCTGGCCGCTTAGCTCAGTTGGTGACAACATGGAGCTGATCAGACCAAGGTCCAGGCTTCCATCCTGTACTGGCCAGCAAAATAGTCATCACAATAATGTGGGTACTGGATAGTGACAGATTTGTTTATTACTGTTCAAAGCCATTAATTAAAGGATGGTGGAGGATTGATTTGTTTATTACTGTTCAAAGCCATTAATTAAAGGATGGTGGAGGATTGATTTGTTTATTACTGTTCAAAGCCATTAATTAAAGGGTGGTGGAGGATTGGAACATAAGAACACACCAGTGAAAAATCATTTATAACATCTTCCTTATGCCAGAAAGCTGAAGAAGTCTCAGCTGGGGAGAGCCGAGTCTAGCAGGCACATGTGAGGCCCAGTGGATCCACGCAAACCCCCGGGTGTGCATTCAGGTTTTCCTGTGAGGTGACCCTGAGAGGCCAACTCTTAGAAGCTTCTCTTGGGGATGGGGAGTAAAAGGAGAAATATAGGAATGGATTAATAAATAAATGGGTTAATAAATAAATGGGTTAATAATTGATAAAATATGACTATAGGACAGAGGAGTGAAATGAAAAAATAGACAAGAGAAAAGAGAGTTCCCGGCTCTCTGTGCCAGAATGGGGCATCGTTTTATTTGTTGTGATAAAATGTCACCTACTGAAGGTGCTCTAAGGTCATTTTTTTTTTTTTTTTTTTTTTTTTTTTTTGCAGCTGGCCAATATGGGGAACCAGACCTTGAGCTTGGTGTTATAAGGCCATGCTCTGACCAATTCAGCTAATCAGCCAGCCCTTCTGAGGTCATTTTTCTAATAGAAAACAAATTTATTATAGTCCTGGGTGACAAAACTACTGTGATCTAGACTGATATTTTAAACACAGTAGTTGTCTGATGTATCGCTTTTAACCAACTGTGCTTAAAATTTTATTTGATGGGTTAGGGCTATTAGGACAATGAATGGTGATAAATCTTTATGTGCTTTTGTTTTCCCATGGGGGAATAGTAGCATTTAGTTCTTCCACAAAATTCAGTCTTGGTGGAAAGAAAAAAAGTCTATTACAAATACATTATGTTCCGCATATGGAAAGAAGGCAGGCCAGGCTTTGCAGGCTCCACTAATACCTGTGATTCTCACCACAGAGCAAAAGCTTGTCAAGGGTGCACTGTTCATTTTTATTTGGAAGGAATATGCTCGTGGCTAATCATTACTTTTCCTCATTCAGAGGATGTGCCTGGGTCAACCCCACTTCGCAGTTTTTTCTGTCTGCTCTTTTCCTTTACGTATGGTGGAAAAGAATCCATGGTGACACCTGGCCAGGTATGGAAACACTGAATTCTTCTGTTGTTTGTTATTCAGAAAGATGTAATTCTGATTTCTGGACTTCTTTCCAGAGTTTTGTTTTGTTTTTATCTTTTGGAAAATCTAAAAATTATAGAAAATGTTTAAGTTCCTAAAAATAAAAAAAGTACAGGGCCATTATGAGTTTGTTTTTTTTTAATGTCCATGAGGGCAGCTTTTGTTTATAGAAGACTATTTGTAGCACCGGTTTTTAAGAATTAATATTATAAATGCAAAGTCCTAGTAGTTCTTTACAAATCATCCTGTTATGTTAAAGTGAAATTTGATTAATGTCTTATCAACTCGAGTGAACGGATTGAACTCTCGTAAACCATCAGTAACACTTACCACTAAGCTAAATTCTCTTAAATATTTAAATATGCATTAGTAAATTTAATAAATTAGGAGGGCTTTTTTCCTATTTTTTTCCAGGTATAATTGACAAATAAATTTGTATATGTTTAAGGACAATGTGGTATTTTGATATACGTGTACGTTGTGAAATGATTTCCACTATTAAGCTAATTAACATGTCCATCACCTTACGCAGTTACCCTATTTTGTGTGTGGCGAGAATACTTAGGATCTACGTTGTCAGCAAATTTCAGGTATGTCATACATTTTTATTAACTATATTCACCATGCCGTACATTAGGTCTCCAGAACTTCCTCATCTCGTAACTGAGTGTTTGTACCCTTTGACCAGTATCTTCTCCCCACTTCCCTCACCCTGGGCCCCAGTAACCACCCTTCCGCTCGACTGTTCTAGATTCCGCTTATGAGCGAGACCATGCAGTATTTGTCTTTCTGTACCTGGCTTACTTCACTTAGCATAATGTCCTCTAGGTTTGTACATGTAACAAATGACAGGATTTCCTTCTTTTTGAAGACTGAATAATGTTCCATTTTGTGTGTGTGTGCACATGTGTGTGTGTGCACGTGCATGTGTACACATGCACAACACATTTTCTTTATCCATTCATCCGTCGATTGAAATGTAGGTTGTTTCCATATCTTGGCTGCTGTGGATAATGCTGCAGTGAACATGGGGGTGCAGATATCTCTTCGAGATAGTGATTTTATGTCCTCTGGATATATACGCAGGAGTAGGATTGCTATATGGTAATTCTACTTAATTTTTTTTTAATTTAAATTTACTTATTTATTATTATTATTCTTTTTTGCACATTCAAAGATGTTGCAGAGCAGTGGGAGGGGAGTAGGAAAACAAAGGTGCAGGGGGGTGCCGGCTGAAAGCCAGCTCCTTTGCTGACCTGGTCGCAGAGGGTGGGGTGCCCTTGGCTCCCCCTGCCCCAGCTCAGGAACCTGGGAACTTCCAGCAGTGGTGCAGGTGTCACTGGGCTGGATGCAGATATCGGGGGGGCATGACAGGCCATTGGCCCTATCCCCACCCCAACTTGGGGGCCAGGGGGCTTCTGGCAGTGGTGCAGTCATCACCAGTCTGGATGCAGACATCAAGGAATTGAGGCTGAGGCCCTCAGCACCTTCCATCCTGGCTCAGGGGCCTGGGGGGCTTCCAACAGCAGTGTGGTAGTCGCTGGGCTGGATGCAGACATCAGGGGCATGTGGCTGAGGACCTCGGGCTCCCCTCACCTGGCTCAGGAGCCTGGGGGGCTTCCAGCTC